GGGGAGGGGGGGGGGGGCTCCTACGAGATGCTGAAAACATTAGGACAAGCGTTGTTATACGGATCACTGCCACAATTTGACGAGCGTTGGCCGACCTAGATTCCAAAATTATCTGCAAAGGACTCTTTCCTTTTTTTTTTTCGGAAATCCTATCAATTTTTATCAGCCACTTGCTTGCTTATTCATTTTCTTTTTATATCTGGGCTATTTTTTTAGGGACAGAGTTTGGTTTATGATCCTGTATCCAATCTATATATATGTATACATATAGATGCGGATTTAACTCACCTTCAGGGACTCTGGTAAATATCCCGTAAGGAAGTCCAAAAGTTTCGGCAATTCTTCCGCGGTGAGTAGACGAAAGTTTCTGCCCCTCTCCACCGCTTCCGGGCACTCCATACTGAAATTAATTAACGAAAGCGACTTTATTAAGTAGCTGTCAAATTCTTTGCCATACGAGATAGGTGTCTTGCTATGCTAAGGAATATTTTAAAAAAATTTTTTTAAAAATTTTTCAAAAAATCTCTCGGTACGATTAGCCATTTTTAATTTATGAAAAATTTAATACAGAACATGTTCTCTATCGTTATGAAAAATTATTGTATTTGCCCGTAATCAATTATTGTTACAAACCGTGTATTCACATGATAAAAATTCATGTATGACGAGTTAACATTGAATTGTGATATATATCGCAATTTTATCGAAGAAAAATTTTCATTCGATTGGCTTTATTTTTTATTTGTTTACTAAAATAAACAACAAAATCGGTGACCTTAACGTGATCAGTCCAGTGTCAGATTTAGGGGAGGAGAATGAGATTTAGGAGAAAATTTCTATAATGAAATTTCTTGGCAGAATAGATAATTATTGGAACGCTATGACACGAGGGTAGAAAAATACATGTTCATCGGGACGATACCGGGGGGTTGCTCATTGTTCGCACCAAAGAGACAGGCTAAAGGCGCGTATAAAGGACTGGTGGGAATTGTTGTCTTAAATGTTACTGCAAATGACAGGTATACCATTTATTATGTAATTGGCTGATAGCATATAAAGCGATAAGGTTAGCTGATCCGAAAGACAATTGGATGCTGTATCGATCAACGAGATGAAGTCTGTACATCCTTTTATAATAGCATCGAGCGACCGGAAGAGGGTGGAAAATTTGTACTCGCAGAACGTCTTGGATGCATTTCATTTTATCCTTGCTACCCCCTCTGCCTTCAATCCCTATTTTTTTTTCAAAATGAACACTAACTCGACAAAGTTCCAAAAAGCATTCTCAAGAACACCTTTACTGAGGGGTTGACAATTTCTACCATTTTTTTGTCCTCTTCCACAAAATTGCCACCCCCTCGCTGGTCTTAATGAGAAATAAAAAATTGGTCATATTCATATTGCCAGTCTAAAGGAGATGCTGAGCTATTATGCTACCCTAGTCTTTTTCTTACAATTTATACAATGTAAGATAATGACGTCAGGTAAGAGGGACTCTTGTTTCGTAATACAAATATTATTTTTTGCTGGTCTCGTTCCTTGGGGTCGTTCATTTTTGCGAGGATAAATTCGCAATCGGGATAAGGACTTTTTGCGTGACTCACGTTAATGTTGGCCAACCTATCCCTCTTAAATCTTCGGACTACGAAACTTCTAGGTTAGGCTTCGAGGCTCGAGCTGTATTAGATTGTATAGATGTATATTGGATTTTAGAGGCATTGCTGAAAATACATAATTTTAGCTACTTGTCAAAGATAAAAAATTAAAAATTTTCGTTTACCAAGTCAGACCCACTGTTTTATTATCACGTACGTACTATATGCAATTCATAAATATCTAATACTTACAGATAGTGCGATTACAGTCTGAACTTTAATTTGAGTTTTCAGAGACATGTCGTAGGTATGGCTACTGTCAGGTGTAATATGGGTTACCGAATCAAAAGTACTTATCGGGTGAATCGATTGTCAGTAACGTGATTTGCAGATGAGCTTATCCCGTTTTATCTGTTTTTATCGAGACACAGGGATAATTGGGATAACCTTATCATGGGATTTAACGGGTAGACTCTTTATGGCAGACATTTTTATTTATCTCGCCGAAAATTTGCGAATATCTTCGATGAAGGTTATGCACATTTTTTTTCTAGTTTTTTTTTTTCAAGTATTTAAAAAAAAGTTCAATACTATTCGTGGATACCGTAGGGATTCGTATTTTTGGTAATTTATGCTCTGATTTCAAATGTAATCTCCTCTTTATCGTGGCACTATACTTTATAGCTAGTAAAACGATTCAAATGACGTATATCAAATTTACATAATTCTATTTGACGTTTTGTATAGCAAAAGCTGGCTAATATCTGGGTCGAAGCTACCTGTATACCTTAACACTTGAGATACTCGCGTATCTAAGGTTTCCAACGTTTCAGCAATACACAATCAAACGTTACCGTAATTTCGTTAAAAATCTTGAAAGTAGATATTCAAAAATTCAGCACCATCCCGAAAAATCAGAAAAAACGACACTTTCGATATTCATCTGCCAAATAAAAAATTTCTTCGATCAAAAAACGGAATAGAGCATAAACGACCTTCTTATGGAATTCAAAAAAAAAAAAAATTGAACAAGAATCAGACTAAGAAAAAAAATGGTGGAAACAGCTGCTGCATATCGATAAACGTGATGCCCTCGTGCAGATCCCGTATTAGACACCTGGGTCAAATCGACCCGCGCCCCAGGAACGTGTCCGAATCCCATCCCGAAGGAAGCGACCGGATGTCACAGAGGAAACTATCGGTACATTAGAAAATAATAATAATAATTAAAACAGTATTCTCAACGGAATAGAAAAAAAAAAAAAAAACGAAAGACACCCCCGTCAGAATGAGCTCCTACCGAAACCGGCCTCTTTGGATGATGGTGAAATCTAGGGGCATCGCTTAAATTATTTGAGCGTGGATATTGATTTACCTGAATGAGTGGGGACGATGTAATATCGGGGGGATCGGTTGGTATTTTCGACGAGGTCTTCTTACACTAGGCGTTGGTGCCTGATGAATCTCGGACCCCGGGCCAGGCTCGAACGCGGTGGTGACTTTATGCGAAATCGCGAGCCGTGTGCCGTTGTCGCCAAGGGGTTACTTCAACGGAGGCAGCCGCCCTCGCCGCCCCCAGAACCCGCACTGCCGCCCCTGGCCTCCTTCGTCTATCCACCGAGATACGAGAACGCATGGCGCATGCGTACCTGCAACAGTGCCGCATTCCAAATCGTGGCGCCCCCTGCATTAAGGTCCTGTCAAACTGATTTTTTTTATATTTTACCTAGGGGTGCTGGATATCTGGTTCAAATGTTTAACCCCCATATTGGCATTGTTGATTGAATAAAAAAAGGTCCAGGCCAATTTTTTTGTAGGGGTTGTATGAGAAATTGCAATTTTTTTTATTTTACCTATTATACTGCTTTGCGGTAAATTCGTGAGATTGCACGGTAATGAATTGCATCATCGACTGTCGTTTTGGTTGTGTATCTGGTATGTGTTTGCGCAGGGGTGCAAGGTCGAGAAGAAAATTCTACTGATAATGAAATTTATAGTTTTATGGTTTTTTTTTAATTTTTACATCTTTTTCGGTCTCGTGTCACGTCTATGGAATTTCTAGGGGATGTTTCGTGGGGGACTTGGCTACAGTTTGACTGCGCATACTTTACTACCCTTGTTGGATGAAATTGCGTAGTTGGTTTTGCGTCGCGATTCACTGTGAGTTATTAGGGGTTAGTTGTTTACTACACTTCTTTTTTTAGTACAAAATTCTATGTACTATTATAATATCTTTTGTATCCTTGTAATCCATCAATCTGGTCTTTGCATTGTATCTATTATACGTAGGTGTATAAGTATCCAGGGTAGTGGGTGACACAGGTGGTAACATATTCTCGTATGAAATATCTATAACCATGCTATTATTTTATACAGATACACGTGTAAGCTTTATACAGTAATTATCCATGGTATATTCTGCTTGTTGAGATTTATGATTCGCATTTAATTCCTAGGAATATAGAACAATGGCTGATTTACAATATTCATGTTTACGTAATTTCGCTATTGGATGCATCGATTCGTCTAATCAGCCTGTAATTTGAATACAAATTTTATTTAAAATAAAAGTAATCTTTATCGTTAACTAATATGCGCATTATCGTCGGCACGTGGATTATGAAAGAAATTTTTTTTTGGTGAAATTTATATTTTCATTATGAATTATTATGGCTAAATATTGATATTTTAAATATAACCCACGCGCCGGCTCCGAGTCTCGTCCTTATTTGGTGCTCCCGCGTTTTCCTTATGGCCACGGCACTGGCGTCGGCGTCGCGACGCGAAACGGCCGTCCGCAGCCTCTCCCGCGTTACATCGATCCATCCCGTTTCTCAGCAATCCAGTTTCAGGACGTGGAAAGAGACAGTAGAAAGAATTGATATATTTACGGATAATACGGCAACACGGGTAGCACGTCATAGGAAAGGATTAGAGCTTGAAAATCACGTGACGTCGGCAGGTGCAACGTAGACTTCGTCCATAGGGGCCTGACTGCACGTCGAGACGCCCCTCTCTTGCGTGAAAGTGCGTCGCGCGAATAAAAAGTTCAGTGACGAACTGCAAAGATTATTACATTAATGAACAGAATCGTGCCCTTCATGAAAACTGTGTCGACGGGATTTATAGCCATAGGATATTTAACAACGATTATCGTATACAATGATCGGTATATCTACGGACACTGTATATATGAAAATTATTCAAAATCCAAAACGCCTCTGAATAATTATCTTTCTTGGTTCCCGACGTTACACGCGAGAGCGAGATGTGTTGCGAGGAAAAATTATTGGTTACCTGGTTAAGAGGTGTCGACGTATTATTAATCCCATAATAATTATCGTGCTTTGTGATTGTGTCATCGGCAGTCATTATTAATTGTACAACGAATCACAAACTGTCTTTCTTGACGGATTTTAGGAGTCTTAAGTAATGGAAGATTTCTATATCGGTTGATAGAACACTGACTGACTACTCGATTCGAAAATATATCTATCTATAGATATGTGGAGTTGCTTTCGAGCAGGTAAATATATTGATTAAAATTTCCACGCTTCCCTTGGCCATTCGTAACGGAGGTTGTAGAATAAACCTTGTTGTTTCTATGATAAATACGTAGTTCTCTAGAACGTCACTGGCGCTGCGGTACAGTTCGACGCGCCTTCGCCATCTGTCGGAAGAGCCACGTATCTCGATGGTCCAATTGTATTTCGGAAGAAATAATAGAAACACCGTGTACGCTGATGTGAATTATATTTATGGATACAATATTTTGCCTATTGTTAAATTGTGTCGGTTTTTCGTAATTCTTAATATTCAAGTAACGCTGTCGGATGGCTGTATATAAAGGGGCAGGGCATTACTACGTTTACATTAAAAAGAGTTTATTCTTTTACATGAATTCAAGTATCAGTGAGTAAACTGTCTTTAATCTAGTCACAACAATTTGACACGTTACGTCCAAGTCAGGTATTGTTAAGTTAAATACTCATTTGAAAATCGTATAAAGTTTATTTGATTCGTCAGCAGATTTCAAATGACCGTACGTGACGGTATGAATAAAAAATATTTTCATCGTAACAATGAGGGCCGTAGAAATATTTCTTCGTATTCAGTTTTAACTTCTGGATATACGTAGAGGAAGAGTCAGCACCTTCGGGTTAGTTGACACAGTTAACTGCGCAGGACCACGTTCTATTTTTATATGATATTGTCCGATCCATTCGTCATAGTTCTTTTAGAAAATAGAATCAATGTTTAGCGAGACGTTTAAGGGGTAGCCAAGGTGGACGTTCAATCATATTATGGATAAATCGCACGGCGTCTATGGAAAACGTTGCTGTACCATATAGTACGATAGCAGTAATAATTAACCGCAAAAAACTTTTTTTGAATCTGAACTAACTGATCAATGCTTAGTATGTATACACACGCACACATATATATAAATGCATATATATATCTTTTAGATTATACGCACAAGGTGACTATGTTCAGAGGAAGAGGCGGCGGCGGCGGCAGGCAATTCGACAACGTGGATTACACACAACTTACCGAAACCGATAGTGGTTTCGTGGATTCTCAAGTAAAGCTATTTATAGTGATACATATATTAGTCTTCTGTATAATTTATCGTTATGAGACTTTAGTAAAAGTTTGATAAGGATTAATCATCTCATTTTTCTGTTTGTTTCAGTTCGTAAGTCCACCAGTTAAAATACCATGGAAAGCGATAACCTTAGCGGCACTCCTCTTCGTAGGAGGGACTATTATGCTGATTATAGGTAGCCTAATGGTCAGCGGACACATCGATTCTAAGGTAACGCTATTTTTTTTGTTTTCTTCTGTTGGATTATGAAACACTTATTCGTTATCATAAATATTCCGGTGGATTGGATCGGGCGTTACTTCTTTGTTCCAGTACTCAGATCGGATGTGGCCGGTTATCATTTTGGGAGCGTTGATGTTTATACCGGGTGCTTATCACGTGAGGGTTGCGGTTCTTGCGTATCGAAAGGTTCCTGGTTATTCCTTTGACGATATTCCAGAGTTCGAATAATTAATCCAGTACTTTGTATTTACGTATACTGTATTATGTATAGATGTGTATATAAGTCATCACCAAAATGTGCTTTTCAATTGACACATCGTGCGGCGGATCTATTGACTTTTTTTAGCGCTATATTCATACTACTTACATATGTATTCATTCTTAAATGCATTGCGATTCCCGAGGATGTGTTATGTTATTAATTATGCGAGTGAAGTTGTGGACTGTATAATATAGCCAGTTATTAATTTCTATAGTTTTTGTTTAGTTTATTTTTTGTCATTTTTTTTATATACGAGTAAATAAAATATAAGAATATTTTTCTCTTATCACGCATGGGGGACGGAAATGAGTACATTTATAAAGCCTATGCTAACAGCTGTTAAAATATATACAAACATTACAACCGTTGGATGGAAAATTGAGAGCTTACAGATGTTGAGTAACTGAAATAAAATTCCTTATCGCATAAAGTTAGATCTTATATTCTATTGTTTTTCAAATCAGTTTTATCATTGATTATAACTGTATATGGGTAGTACTGAGATACGACCAGCGTATATACAGTTAGTTATCGATATTCAGTCTACATTCTTACTTCGTGAAAAATTTATATAAAAAAACTTAAAAGGAACTATGTACCACTGTAGTCTTGAATACTGGCGTCTTGTCGAAATAAAAAAAAGGATTGTTTGATAACCGTAACGGTACATTATCAAACCTGTATCTATGTAATAATAAGGATAAAGTTATATATCATATCACAATGCTACATGTGTAGATTTCATGTAGTTGATCAATTTCTCGCTACTAAATTTGGCAAATTTTCCTTTGTGCGTTTGAACAAATCCAAGAGGAGGATCGAATCTTTTTTTCAAAATATTTTCCATGACCTGCCTAGTGCTATTAATGTTGTGTTTATTGTCATATTTTCTTACTTCGCTTAATTGGAGCTCCCTCGACGACGGTATAGTCTGCAATGTTACAACGTAATTACAAATTATCTGTAATTATTATTACAAAATATCGAAAGCTTCCTAATTAATGCTACTGGACTTACCTCAAAGGACACGTAAACTGCAAGTTGTCTGACGCGCATGCGATCAATCGCGTGTCCGATTTCCATGAAAAGTTGTTGAATTAATTCAGTGACTGTCAGATATATTTCCTCCTCCATCCACCTGGTGTTTATAATTAGGAATACGGGAGTATTTAGCTAACAAATGAAAATCATGAGATTAGACAAGAAAGGTATTGTAGCTTAGATACAGAAATGTTTTCATAACCTGATTGGTCTCCATATTCCTTGTCTTTTTTTTACTTTGACTTATAAAATCCTGATAATTAACCTTTATTGCTTGATACGTTCCCAATTTGGCGCCATATTGAAATAGTTGGTTAGCTAATATTATGTCACGAGTAGTAGCCGTTACTATCACTGCTCTGAATATATTTGGTCGTAGCATAAAATTGTACGGTATCAATAGTCTAGCCAGTTCAATGAGTAAATCATATTTTTCAGTTGTCAAAAGCGCTAAAGTTAGTTTATCTATATAGTGTGGAAGGTCTGAAAATAAAGGAGGAAAAATATAACTTCCTATCCCTCTCATTCTTCGCCATCGTCATTAAAGAGAACAGCCAGTGTCTTATTGATATTTAATCATTATCTTACCTATTGGAAAGTAAATACAATATTGATCCCCTAGCAAAGTGTCGTATAAGGCGAAGGCACTTTCCACAAAATTACCACAGAGCGACTCTAGTAAGAGCGAAATGATTATGACCCGCAAATCTTCATCTCTACTTTCACTAGGTATCTTCCATTTCTTTCGATTAGTAAAAATCACATTGGTTTCTGTAATAAATGTTTTTTTTAGAATAAAAAATATCTTTTGTCTACTTGGTGCTAATTGTGCATCATTATGCTTGGGGTAAATATATAACTCACGTCTAAGAATCTCAAGGGCCTTTAGCGGGCGATCATTGGCTATATATATTTCGGCAGATAGCAAAATGAATCCAACATTAAATCGCGATTCATAAATTTTAAGTGTTTTCAGTAACTTATAGGCTAATACCCACGATCCGTTGTCAGCTAGCTCTATTAAGACGTATCTGCCTAGGGTGAACAATGTCTCTTCCAAGATGGAGCTCATTCCAGTTTGGACTGAAAACGTGTAAAACGACAACAGTTAGGTCTCAAGAATCGAGAAACTTTGTATTTTTTGTTGTTGGTATATTTCATATATTTTATTAAAGACATGTGCTCTTTACATTTGATTACAAATAATAGATATAATTTTGGTAACCTAGGCTCGGGTATAAAAGTCATTGAAGGAAAAAAAAATAAAGAAAGTGATAAAAAAAGAGAAGGTAAGAGAACGTAGTAATACTAGTAAAACAAAATCAAAGAAAACTTCTTTCTTGTTATGCGATAAATTGCATTGCATCACGTAAAAAAAAACTGTTAGTAAAAGTTAAAACGCAAACGATACATAGTGCAATACGAAAAGAACATTTTAGATCCACAAAATTACAATCAATCCTTTTAGTGTCCTCTTCATATACATTGAGAGTTATTACGCGTTACCACGATATGCAACGTGGGTCAACTAACATAAAATATATTACGGCCAGCTAATTTGTTGTCTTACGGAAGAAGTGCTTACAGTTGAAAAGTGTGCGTTACCTGAAATCTTGATAATGTTGACTAAGTGTTCGTCCGACGACATAATATTATTGCGTAGTATATTATAGCATCCTTTCAGAAAGATATTGTTTTCATATTTTGAATATTTGTCAAGGATCTGAAGTACGTGTTTGTAATCTTTGTGTTGGATGCCTTCTCTCAAACTTATCAAATCAATGTTAAATTTCCAGAAGCGATGCTGATGTGGTGAACTTGGTTCCGGTAGGTTTTCTACGAATTAAGGTCAGTTTTGTAGCGAGAAAGAAAAATTGGATTGTTATTTAATTTTAGGAATTTATAATTCTTACCGATTATATGCATAACCCATGGTACATCAGTAACGTAAGGTGACTTAATTGTAGTATCACATTCAATTTGTGCACTTTCGTTACTGGGGATATTACTTCTATCACCTTCATAAACATTCAGTTGCAGAGTACTACCTACACTGTAGACTGGACTCTCTAACGTTGATAAATTAGACGGTGGATCGAATATTGGAGGTTCTCTTGTATCAAATGTATGACTAGTACGGTGCTGAGAGACATACTGTTCCGACTTCTTAATACTAGTGATACTTCTACTTTCTACATTGACAGAAAATGGGCTGTAATCCTGTTCAACTTGTACGTTAACACTTGTACCCTTTCTAGAGACCTCTGTAATTCTGTCTTGTAGTTTAAAAAATAATGGCAATATATCTCGTAACTCTGGAGTCAGTGAGTAACCGATGGTTAGCTTGTTTATTAAATTCACAGCGACATCTTTAATGAACGCTTCGTTCTCTTGCGCGTAAAGACATTCTTGTATTACCAATTGGACGTAGTAGGCGGGTGGGGTATATTTGATGAAAAACTGCCGAAACGTTTTCCACCATTTCCCAAAAACTATTTCCTTTCTGGCACGTTGGAAAATCATCGAGTAGAGCATGCTGATTTCTTTTGCATCGGATAAAATTTCCAGTTGATTGATAACTTCTTCAATCGACTTTTCCTGTTCTATTAAAGACTGTATCGTGTTCCGAACGCATTCATTGTTTAATAAATTGGCATTGCGTACCAGCGTATACAAATCTAGTATCTGTTTTGACTCTATCTTTATTGTCAGGTCACTGTAAATGTATTGAACCAAATATCTAAATTTATATTTTATTGCAGTTTCTCGAGAAAGAAAAATTGGATTGTTATTTAATTTTAGGAATTTATAATTCTTACCGATTATATGCATAACCCATGGTACATCAGTAACGTAAGGTGACTTAATTGTAGTATGAGAAAGAAAAATTGGATTGTTATTTAGTTTTAGGAAGTTATAATTCTTACCGATTCTATGCATAACCCATGGTACATCAGTAACGTAAGGTGACTTAATTGTAGTATCACATTCAATTTGTGCACTTTCGTTACTGGGGATATTACTTCTATCACCTTCATAAACATTCAGTTGCAGAGTACTACCTACACTGTAGACTGGACTCTCTAACGTTGATAAATTAGACGGTGGATCGAATATTGGAGGTTCTCTTGTATCAAATGTATGACTAGTACGGTGCTGAGAGACATACTGTTCCGACTTCTTAATACTAGTGATACTTCTACTTTCTACATTGACAGAAAATAGGCTGTAATCCTGTTCAACTTGTACGTTAACACTTGTACCCTTTCTAGAGACCTCTGTAATTCTGTCTTGTAGTTTAAAAAATAATGGCAATATATCTCGTAACTCTGGAGTCAGTGAGTAACCGATGGTTAGCTTGTTTATTAAATTCACAGCGACATCGTTAATGAACGCTTCGTTCTCTTGCGCGTAAAGACATTCTTGTATTACCAATTGGACGTAGTAGGCGGGTGGGGTATATTTGATGAAAAACTGCCGAAACGTTTTCCACCATTTCCCAAAAACTATTTCCTTTCTGGCACGTTGGAAAATCATCGAGTAGAGCATGCTGATTTCTTTTGCATCGGATAAAATTTCCAGTTGATTGATAACTTCTTCAATCGACTTTTCCTGTTCTATTAAAGACTGTATCGTGTTCCGCACGCATTCATTGTTTAATAAATTGGCATTGCGTACCAGCGTATACAAATCTAGTATCTGTTTTGACTCTATCTTTATTGTCAGGTCACTGTAAATGTATTGAACCAAATATCTAAATTTATATTTTATTGCAGTTTCTATCACCACACGTATGTACTCGTAACTTTTCTCATGTAAATGTAACATCTCATGGTTTAACTGTGAAAAAAATAATAA